AAAGAAAAACAAAGTAAAGACCTGAATAGTGAAGCCATATCAATGCCAAGGAGATGCAATCAGCTCAGAATGCACTCATCGGGTCTTTTATACCACACTTAAAAACCGATTGATTCAGCGGAATTTTTGCAACACTAGCACCAGCTGAGAGGACAAGTTCTGGGCTGACGCAACAACTGATTAGAAAGCGCACTTCTCGGAATTCTGCAGCGTTTCGCTGCACTCCGAAATCGCTGCAAAACACAGAATCGCTGCCCAGTAAAACAAATCCCCACTTCTGTACCCGATTACCAGCTGAAGTCACTAGTAGAAATACATTTGCCCAGTTCTGCCTTGGAGAAGAATTTTCGTCAAAATCTGGCCTGAACTTCGAAGAACGGGGCTGTAAATGATGAAAAGTGTCCATAATCCTGTTGGCTTCTTTAGTTACTTTGAACATTCATGTTGACTACGCCCGGTGCGGGATCAAATCATGGATGTCATGGATCGGCTCCCGCCGCCAACCAACCTTCTACCCTCCAGGGATGGTAAATTGGTACCAGATTCGCCTGGGAGGACAAAACACTGACTTGTACATCGGCTGGCCCCCGAGATTCTGAATGCAAGTAGAGTGCCTGCGCATCCCACAAAGGGATTTGTCTACGGCGCTTATCATTCCATTTCTTCACGTTGACTGGAACGCAACAAAATGCCTAGATAGCTTTGATACTTGGGAAATGTGAGGAATCCGAGCCAGAATCGGCGACGTAGGAAGATACGCATATCGATCTGGGAGATTCACGATTTGGAAGAGTGCTTCCCTCGGGAAAATCGGCTGGAGACAGTTTCTCCATAAACGCGAGAGGGTTGAGTCAATTTTCCCATCTAGTTTCGTTGCGCCGATTCTTTCCAATCACATATTCTACACTTTCGCAGCATATATTTCTTTAGTTCGCGTTGCGGCGAGCGCGGCGAAAAGAGCGTGACAAACGTTACCTTCGCATCGGGACCCAATCGATTTAACGTGGCAGTGCTAGGTCGCGCCAGGACAGTTCTCTTCGCTCGCGCGCAACGCCACCACTCGGCGCCAACAATGGATACTCCTTAAAGTATGAACGCTGCCCAAGGAAAACCTGGATAACACTTTTTTTTGAAATTTAACAATAAAAGTGTTTACAGATTAACATGCTAAACACTCATGGACTGTCAGGGGGAGATACCACCATACATAATCCGAAAACACGTCCGAAACTGATGATTTCATTTCATTAACGAACTCATTTCTCAATAAAACCATAACAACTCGAAATATGTGTGAATCTAGCGCCCTGTGCAATCAAGTGACAACATAAACTAGTAAAACTACTTTTCCTAATGCATAATGCTATTTGAATTATCCTGGATGTTCTGCGTCTACACAATAACGTCGCTTGAATGACTTTTCGGCGCAGTTCGGCTTGGGAGGGGGAGGGGGTGTGTGGACACTTGGACATTTTGCACTTTCGCTAGACCCCGGTCAGGTCGAGCCATAATGTAGAGATCAGTGAAATCTAGTCAGAGCATGAAGTATACTGTAAAAAATCTTGGTAACTCTTGTCAAGCAACGAACACGACAATGGGAAGTGGCGAATGTGTAAAGAGCCCCCCCCAATCCGAACTGGGCTGACTTTTCCAACAAAAACTGGACTGGATTTCTGAATCAAAGCTTAGAAACCATCAGGTAGATCAGATTTCCCTTCCACTTTTCTTCTGTATCTCTACATATTTGTCCCAAGCCTGCACTGGTATATCAGGCGACGGTTGCTGTGCTTTCCATTGCTCATAGATATATCCTCCCAACGTCGCAGCGAAAAGTCCCAACATCATCTTTGCGAAGAGAATATCGGACTCCTTCACCATATCTAGAAGTAGAAAAGAAAATTTTGTCTGGTACTTAAAGGAGAATTCTTCGTCGAAAATACTCAACAACGTTGAAGCTGAATTAAATTCGTGAGGTCGACCGAAGGAATGCTCGAAAGGCAGAGCAGGCCCTCAGCCGGACTGGTAGCATCAGCCTTAGATACCTAGTAGGGAAATAGACCGACAGAGGTTTGGGAAAAGTAGCAGCTTCAGGGATGAAGAACGTAGAAAAATTCCAAGCAGCAGTTCCCTGTTGCTTTCAATGGCTAAGTAATATTGGAAGCAATAATGAGCAAGATATCACCACAGCACAGCAAGGAAGAACCGCCAAAGACGCCCTTAATAAGGGCCCAGGATTGGACGAGCATCCCTGAATGGAAAAGACTGCTGCAGGTGGAGAGTCTAGGGAAAAGGATCAGGAAAGCGGCGACTTTTCCCTATGTCGGTCATTCGACTAATGACGGAGCGATCCCTTGGCTCGCTATTGAGGCGTGGGAGAACTTTCAAAACTTGGATCAGATCATCTTCTCAAGGAGGGAATTTTTCTCTTAGTCAATGGAGAATGTGCATTTAAGGGCGAGAATTTCAACTGGTAAGTAGTTAGATCAAAGCCGGCTGGAAAAATGTATGTTATCCGAACAAGTGCTGAATGAGAAACAAGGATATGGGAATTCATAATATAATAAGGGTAGCGGTGTAAGATCATGAATATCCTCCTATTCTCCAATATAAGCCGCACCTACTAGACCTTCTTGGGGTGAGGGACACAAGAACCTCTCGAAACCCTTATTTGGGTTCATGGCGCAGGATACTCAGTACCCAGTAAAGGCTGACTTCATACCTTGGGACGGAGAATAACCGGTGACCCACAGAACTGACGTGTTGCAGAATCCGTGAAGAGGATTAGATGCGCACCGACTTATTTCCGCAAGTGTCAGTGTGAAGAAAGCGTCAATTTCGTTATTTTTTTGGAAGGAAAAGGGATAAGGATGTGAAGATTGTGTTATGGAAAGTTCAGAAATAAACACCGCATACTTCTGAGCTAATCAGTTTCCAAAGCACCGTCAGTTTCGTCAGATTTTGTCCACCGACGCAAATCGCTCGTACGCAGCCTGCTTCCCTGAAACAGCGAAAACACTATTAAGGATATCTAAGAAATCTGTCATTGAGAGAGCTGTTCGAACCTTAATGGATGGTACAAGAAAGGGAAAAGAGGAAATGATAAACTTAAGAAGAGGACTAAAATTTCACTTGACTCTACTTCAAAACGGTAAATGAAGTCTATTTCATTACTTTGCTTCCAATTTCTATTCCAGACATTCTGTGTCTCATTATGAATCAAGGTCCCCCCCCGCAAAGAAAAGTTCAAGAAGAGAGACCACTGAACAGTAAAAGTAAAAGAGCGAATTAAAACTGACGATCAACTGCCCGAATGATATCGAATCCTCCGCCCAATAGTAAGCTTTGGAAATCCTTGGGAAGTGCTGGTAAAGATACTGCCTAAAAACGCCAAAGTCGTTGGAAATGACTGAGAAGCCCAACAAAATAGTTTAAAGAAATTACCTTGATTTTTCACTTCGTCGAAGAGTGCAAAAACCTATAAATGCGAGACCACAAGCTGCAAGTTCCACCGCCGCTAAACTGTAGATGCTCTTCTTGATGGCGGACGCCAGTGTTCACCCTTGAATAGCCAGTTTACTGATTACCAGCAAACATGGAAGAATTGCACACTTCCTAGAGTGGAACGTCCGCAGACGTCAGCTGTGAAGTGTACGCAATTGCGGTCCCTGATAAATTTGGTGCGGTTTTCAAAAATTCGTTCCACTCCAAACTTCCATTTCACTTTAGGACAACTAATGCAGATTGAACTCGTCAGGAATAGGTGAGTTCCACATCTTGAAATTCTGTTTGTATAGGATATAGAACTAGGAAGTTAACACTTGCAAAATTCTTCACGCTTTTGGGCGCTGTTCAGCTGTTGCAACTAAAAAATGCGATTTTCGCTTGCTAAAACTTTATCTGCAAGTCATGCAGTGCTTTGAAGATGAAGAACATTTTTTTGTCGCAGTGTTTGGATCTTGATTACAAATATAGCGTTTTTGTTGGAAGAGAGCGCAGTTTGGTGTCCAACTGGCTCAAAAATAACTAATTACGCGTCATCAACAATGTGCATAAACCTAAATGTTGGGACTGTAGCCGTGATCAGCCTACCTGATAACTCGTTCAGGCGATGCTTTGAGATGAGATTTGGTTTTGTGGAAGTCGAAAAATGCCCACTTTTTATCACTATCCATTCTCTCGTAAACTCTTTGGAGCATATTTCTCAGTGCTTTGTTGCTCTATGGAAAAGTGTCATCAGTGAATTCTCAAATATCAATCTCTTTTACTGTTAGACCTGCATGGTCGGACTTAAATACTGCAAGGTTTCCTAATTAAGAAAGAGATATTGCACCAAGATGTTTGTTTTCGTATAATGTTGGCGTATTTGCTCAGGTGCAGAGCAACCTTTAAAGGCAAAGCCCGCGACCACAGATTGTGGGTAACGGAACCCACATAGGAACGAAAAAGGGCTAGGTATCTGATTAGCGGAGAAAAGCAGCAGAAAAACAGCCGAAAATGCCCTAAATAGGATTCCATATCGACCCCAACTTGTACATGCATGCAATGAAGAAAACGCATGTTTGTACGAATTTCCACTCGTCGTTATCATAAAGATATCAGCTCTTTTATCGTATCACCTCACTCTCACCATTCGGAATGGAGAGAGATAGCATAGTGGGCTACTAGCTAGTAGCTAGCAACCTGTGCGGGTCTGCATGGGCCCTAAGGGCGCCCCCTTGGGCCTAATTGGTTAGCTTGAAGCGGAATTCTTGCGATTTTTCACTTTCTAAAGGTAGCGCAGCCTCCGCAATCTCCTTCCGGATCGTCTGACACATTTGAAAGGTCATAGCCTTATTTTATCGCGGAAAGTGCCTTTAAATGTTCTTCATTTTCTCCCATATGAAGGCACATTTCACTATCGCAAGTGGTGGACTTTGAGCTGCAACGACTGACTCGTAGGAGCCACCAGTGGAAAAATTGTGGGCAAAACCGTCGAAGGCGCCTAAACAAGCCCTATGCTCGGACGGGTATTTGAAGAAACGAGCACCGCTGCGAGCAAGACACGTCGTGGGTTCGAGATTTCCAGTGAGGTCATAGTTGGGCGCCAGAGGAAGAGGTAGTATTCGTGAAAAATGTTTTCGGTTGTTGACCTTATTCGTATCGGTTCGTTTTTCCGTTCCTCATGCACTACGGTACAATCCTCCTCTTTCCGCTCGGTGAGAGTTTCTGAGGGTTAAATTGTAGAATTTCTGGAGAAAATTATAGAAAGGGGTGAGAAGGAGGGATTGTGTAAGAGAACGTGAACACAAGCTCCGAATGAGCGGGGGCCAGTCCTTGTATATATGAATAGAAGACACTGTAATATCTCGTCCCTGATGGGAGGAGCAACTTCTAAGAGTGAACTTCATTCGCTGATGGCGACTGCAGCGCCCTCGCCATTTATCGTGGAACCGCGAGAGTGGGACAGCTTGTGCCCATGAGATTACGGACTGGAGCGCTTGTATAAGGAGAAATTCCTATAAATCAGGTACAGTGGAGTAGATCAAGGGTGTTCTATAATGTTGAAAAGCTCGCTAATTTCCTAATGATCTAGCGGCGTCTCCACTTCTATGATATGATTTGGATTTCTTGACGCTAGAATTCGAAAAGCTGAGCTTGTTACTTTTCATTTTGATAGGTCCGTTTATTTTAGCGATGGTGTCGAAGAGTATATGATTATTGAGCTACAAGGTACACTTGATAGCTGTGGTCGATCGCTTGCAAATGAGACTCTGGGTAAGTTGACAGTTTGAAAGTCCCGTTTTGAAGACAATGATGAATGGGCACTGAGAGACCTAATTATTCTGCTTTTGGTCCTTTCGTCTTCTGTACCCCAAATGCTGAAGATGGGAATGGCATGGCTGCGTACTTTATGTGAAAGAGCGTAGGATGCGCTTTTTGTGGAACCAATTCCATTTGGGGTATTGTCATCCTGTCTTTTATTGGACAAGGGCACGATTACTAATGTCTCAGAACGGTAATATTCCACCAAGAAGTCCACAGTCCCGCTCAAATGAACTGCGCTGCCGCGCGCACTTCTCTTTGGGATACAGAGCGTGTTTTCTCATATGTTAAATTAAACTTTTCTAGTGGCTTTCTGGTGCATCTGGAGAACATAAACTCTTTGCAGGTCATCTCACTTGGCGGAAAGATAACTCAGAAGCGTTGTTGCTGATAGGCCATCATCTCCTTGAAGGCAAGGTTAGTCGCGTTGAATGAAACCGTCCAAACTCTTCCCCGCTAAATAGATTCACGGGTAGTTTCTAGAATATAGCTGGGAAGTCGAAAATAGGGTATGTT